GTAGAGGGAAATGCGCTGCCTGTGGCCCAAGCCTGTTTTTGTCAAACCACAAGAGAAATCTCCCTTGTCTCCTGGAGAAAGTTTCCTGTAATAATTTAGCTTCCAGCAGTCCATGTTCTTACTTTAAAGCTCCTCCTCGGCTGCTTTGGAGTCAGCAGTCAGTCTCAGGGTGGCCCATGTGTGTCAACCGGCTCCATCCACGGGTTTTCAGTAACTGGTTGTTTTTTGGCAGATCACCCATTGCCTTATGGTCATACCTTGCCTTAACAGGTTCGTGGGTCGTGCTTATTTACTTGTTTAACTATTTCCACCCAGAGAAGGCATTCCTCTGGCAACCCAAAGCATTTTCATGGGAAAATAAAGGCCAGTTAGCAGTGCACAAGATGCTGGTGTGCGAACAAGGATGTGCCCTTTCCTCTCAGTACTTTACTGCCATCTGCTGGAAATGTTTTGTACTGCACAAGTCTGCGTTGACCACTGTGTGAATAACTGTCTAGCTTTGTAGACAAACAACTGCCAGAAGTCTAACGCCTCTCTCCCTGTTGTCCAGACAGATACACAGGCACACATACAAACACACAGACATACATAAGTCCCCGGGCTCACTCTGTACACATTTGGAAGAATCTGTGTATATGTCACTGTTACTGTTTGCAACTCTAAAAAAGGCCATGATTGTTAAAAAAGGTCACGGCTATTTGCAACTATCAAAGACTTGGCAAAGGTGCGTTTCTCAGCCAGAGAATTCTTTCTTTACCCACATTTTGCAAAAAAAGGAACCCACTCTCATATGAGCCTTTGTGTTCCAGGTTCATTAAAATCGGAGACAAAGAGTGTGAATATAATCCCAAATTCCGACTCATCCTTCACACCAAGCTGGCTAATCCTCATTACCAGCCTGAGCTGCAGGCTCAGGCCACTCTCATCAACTTCACTGTGACCAGAGATGGGCTGGAGGACCAGCTGCTGGCTGCTGTGGTCAGCATGGAGAGGCCAGACCTGGAGCAACTGAAGGTGAGTCACGCGGGCCCAGTGAGGATGGGGGGCAGGAAACTCAGCCTACTCTCCGTGCTGCTGGGCTCCTCACTCGGGGTGGGCGGCAGGGAGGTTGTTTTCCCTGGAACTGATAGAGGGGGCCCAGTCAGACATGAGAGAGGTTCTAACCTCACTCACCTTCCTGGGAACACTGAGCACGGGAGCAAAAGACAGTTGGGATAATGACTGTTCCCAAGGTTAAGAATGGGTTTCTGGATAGTGCAAAGAGTTAATGCGCTCAGTTACTCGCTGAAAGGTTGGAGGTCCAAGTCCATGCCAGAAGAAAGCCCTGGCAATAATGTACTTCCAAATTTAAAAGAAAAAAAATTCACAACACACAAACAACAGCCGTTGAAAACTCTGTGGAACACAGCTCACTTCTGATACACTTGGGTCACTGTGAGTTGTAATCAACTTAATAGCAACTGATTTGTTGATTGTGTTTGTTTGTATGTTTAACTTACTCATTTCTGTCTCATCAGAATTAACTCATAGCTGGCCCTCCAGGGGGGTTTCAGAGCAGTAGATCACATGGGAGGAAATTACCCATTTTTGTTCTGCAGAGCAGCCGGTGGATTCGAACCACATGCCCTTGAGTTAGCAACATAACTCCTTCCATAGTTTGTTGTTGTTACATGTCGTTGAGTCGCTTGCAACTCATAGCGACCCTATGTACAACCACCCTAAACTCTGATCTAAACCGTGCCCACCTCATCATCTCTGACACATCTACCCTTATTACCCCAGTCACTGAATCAGTACATCTCATTTAGGGTCTTCATCTCCTGCGCTGTCCCTCCATCCTCACAAGCATGACGTCCTTCTCCAAGGACTGGTCCCTCCTTGCAGGATGTCCATAGAGTGTCAGATGAAGTTTCAGAATCCTTGCCCCTAAGGAGTAGCCTGGTTGCACTCTCTCCAGGATGAACGTGTTTGTTTTTCTAGCAGTCTATGGTATATTCAGTACTCTTCTCCAACACCACAGCTCAAAGGCATCAATTCTCCTTCTGCCATCCCTAGTCATTGTCCAGCCCTCTGATGCATAAGAAGTGATTGCAAAGACCATGGCCTGGATCTGGTGCACCTTAGTCTCCAGACTGACTTCGATACTTTTCAGTTCTTTGGAGAGGTCTCTGATTGCAGACTTTCCCAATGCAATTTGACTTTTAATTTCATGGCTGCTGGTGCCAAGAGGGTTGACTCTTGAGTGGATCAAGCAAACTAAAGCTGTTAACAATCTCAATCTCCTCACCATCTATCTTGATGCTGCCAATTGGTCCAGTGGTGAGAATCTTTGTCTTCTTGACATTGAACCTCAATCCATATTGGAGGCTGCAGTCCTTGACCTTCTGCAGCAAATGCTTCAGGTCCTCCTCAGTTTCAGCAAGCAGGCTTGTGTCATCTGCATAACACAACTTGTTGATGAGTCTTTCTCCGATCCTGATGTCACATTTCTCCTCATAAAGCCCAGCCTCCACAGTTTAGCTTAGGGAAAGTAACATTTCTTTGCCCTATACAGCCTTTTATAGACTGCCTTTGTATCCTTGCTGTCTCTCTTATCATGGGAAGAACCGTTTAACTGTTTGGGCTCTAACCTAGTGTTTCTTTGAAAATGTGGCTCTCAATCTTGTTTTAAGACCAGCATTTGCTGTTCTGCCTGCCTGAAATGTTCTCTTTCAGGATACCTATAATTACTGGGGACTTAACTCACATGCCAGTTATTAATTGACTCTCTTCCTGATTGATATAGCTCAAACTAGCCCCATATCTCTAATATCATCCTATTTTATTTTCCTATAATCCTTATTACTATCTGAAATGACAAAGCTTGTTTGTCTATACTCTGTATTCCCTCCCTGTGTTCTGTGAAGGTGAGATGTGGCTAGTTAGCCTTTTCTTTACTGATCCTCAGAACCTTTAATCGTGGCCTGTTGTTGTAAAGCTGTTGCTCCGCATGCATGTGCTGAAGAAATGAATGATTTCAGGCAGCCAACTCCCAGGGATCTGTGAGTCCAGTCTCCTATGCCCTGTAGATCTGGCCTCTATATTCTGTCCTAATGTGGTTGGACCCATTTCTAGTACAACTGAAAAACTGTGCAATTGAACAGGTTGGACATTTGAAGTCTGCTGAACTGAAGACTCCAGAATTGAAGTTCTGGATATGGGCATGTGAACAGAGGCCTCCTGGTTGGCCCCAGCCTTTCATTAACGTTGCTGCACACTTTTAAATTGACAACCATGCTTAGACCATGCCTATAGCCGTCATTTGTGGCAACGTGTTAAAAGCCAGCTTTTGGGGAGCTCTGGTGGCCTAGTGGCAAGAAGCTGTGGTGCAAACCTGAAGATGCATGGTTCAAATCCACAAGATGCTCCCCTGGAGAAGGTGGGACAATCTCCTCTTGTGCCAGTCAGGCCTGACTCAATGGTACAACAAGAACAAAAACCAAAAACAAAAGCCGGCTTCAGTAACTATTTGCACCATTCAAATTTGACTAGTCTCCTCCCGTCAGAAAAAATATCCCAGTGTATTAAGATAGCTATCCCGATATTTCAGAAGGGAACATGAGGCCAGATCTGAAAGCATACCACCTCCCTACTCCAGCCTGAAGAGGGCTCTTGAAAATATCTGTCTAAGCTGTGTGTAACAGTATTTATTGATTTTCCCCCCTTCCTCTCCAAAAGAAAGATAATCCATAAGAGAGCTGTTTATTGTGGGGCATTAAAGTAAAAATAGAAAGAAAGGGCCTTGTGCAGACTAAGGCTTGACTCTGACATTAACCGTTCACAGAAATTAAGTTCCGTTTCAATAGCACTGGCTGTGGTGCACCTTGTGTGATGATCCTGGGAGACAGAGACTGGGGTTGACCCCACTGCAGTCACTAATTTATAAAGAGCTTACCGGGACCCAAGGCAGAAAGGTTCACTTGTGACTTGGCTCATCTGCTAGTCCCATCTGCTCAAGCACCTGCTATCCTAACTAAGTTAGTGTTTCTCATGGAAGGGACTCTGGTCTCAAACTCACTACCACTGAGTCAACTACACAGGGCTGCTGTGGAAGAGAGCAGAACTAACTGACTCTTGAGGTTTCCAAGGGCAAATCTTATTGGAAGCTGAGTGATACATCTTTCCACTGTGAACTGGCTGGTAGATTGAGCTACTAACCTTTTGATTAGCAGCTAAGGGCTTTAACCACTTTCAGGGCTTGTTTTTCTTGACCTCATAAGTTTTTATTTATCCAGATATACCCAACAAGGAGGACAGTTGTGGTTCACTGGTAAAATTCTTACCTTCCATGAAGGGAACCTGGCATCATTATCATTTCCCAGCCAATGCACTTTATTCAGTATCTTTGTGGAAACACTAGGACTAACACTCCTTTGGAAACAATACATCCTATTTAAGGAATAAATACATTTCATGAAGTGGAGATCCACAATGTCTTAAGAGGAAATGTTCTGCTTTGTAGGAGAAATAGTCTGTTTTTCATTTGGTAAAGCAAACATTACAAACCATTTCACATCAAATAGATAAGTGCAGGAGTAAAGGAAAATTTAGGCTTTTTCAGATCATAGACATGCTTACCAATAATTCTTCGTCAAACTTTAATTCCTTTTCTCCTGGTACAGTCTGGCTAAGGCACTGTTTCGGAATTATACTTTGTAAGCATTTTATTATGAGAGCTTTGCAATTAATCAAGTCAACTTTATCTGAAGTTCTTGAAATGGAAAATGGATTCATTTGGTTAAGAAGAAAAGGTGGTATCAGCTCTCAGATTTTGAAAGATGAAATAATGTTTACCTGGCTAAGGGAACTGGATGGTTGTTAAAACGACTTCCTCTTGTGATTCTGTAAGTCAGTGAACAGAGCAAATAAAAAATATTTTATCCAGCTTAGAAATTCTGATTCCATTTTTCTTTCATTATTCAAGTAGTAACAAGAGAAAAGTGGGCTTTCTTTAGAGAGTTGAAAAGTGAAAAATTTTACTGAAAATGGAGTTTTATTATTAGTTTAAAGTTGCCTTACCCAGATGTTGTTGTTGTGATCGTTGTTGTTGTATGCTGTGGAGGCAGAACTAACCCGCAGCTGATCTTCCAGCAGGTTTTCAATGCTATTAACCACACAGGAAGAGACTGCTCATCTTTCTCCCTCAATGAATTGGTAGATTTGAACCACATGTCTTCTGGACTGCAGCTTAGCTTTTTACCACTAAGCCACCAGAGCTCCTTGATTTTTTAACCACCACAGAAGCTGACAGCCATCTGTCGTCAGTGGTGGCTTGAATGTTCCTGTGTGCTGACAAGGTTTCAGCAGAACTTTCAGGCTAAGATAAGAATAGGAAGAAAGGCCTGGCAATACATTTTCAAAGATCAGCCAGTGAGCACCCTAGGAATCCCAGTAGTTCAATTCTCCACCAGTCATGGTGATGGTACAGGGTGAAGCAGCATTGTGTTTGACTGCTCCAGAGGTTGCAATGGGCTGGGGGTGAATTCAAGGACCGCTAACAACAACAATATTCCAACTGTAGGATACTCTCATTTTATATGCCTCACTCCTTTTCACTTGCTTCCCACAGTCAGAACTCACAAAGCAACAGAATGGGTTCAAAATTACCCTCAAAACTTTAGAAGACAACCTGCTGTCTCGCCTCTCCTCAGCATCTGGAAACTTCCTGGGAGAAACAGCCTTGGTGGAAAACCTAGAGATCACCAAGCAGACCGCTGCGGAAGTTGAGAAAAAGGTAAAATTCACGTCTAGCAGGGGGAAGACAGCTGAAGCTAGCCGGCACGAATATTCTTTCCTAGAGTCTGATTCAAACATTTAAGAAAAACAAATCAGACTAACAGATGGCTTTTCCCTCCTTCTAACTTTCTCCTAGAAATTCAAGCCTGGTAAAGCTCTTAAAATGACTACTTTACATCCTATGTTATGGGATTGCCACCTTCTTGGAAATGCTTTTGACAGATCTTAACAATTATAACTTCAAATATTTCCTCTCCCTCATTCTCTCATGTTCTACCTATTTCTGTTAGAAATATTCTACATCTTCTCATACTATCTGCCAAGTCTCATAACCTCTCATATATTTTTCCCCATCATTGTTTTTCTCTGAGTTACTTTTGTTGCAATTTCTTTAACTCTGTCTTCTACTCTGCTGATTTTTATTTGGCTCTAATCTATCATTTAACATGTGTACTGAGTTTGTTCATGTCAATAATTGCACTCTTATTTTTCTCCCCACCATCCATTGGCTGGTTTGTCATTCTGTGATGACTGGCATGTTACAGTGAAGCTAAAAGCCATCTCAGACACCAGCAGGGTAACCCATAGCGTACAGTCTCAGTGGACCTTCCAAGGTAATAAGAGGAAGAAGGACTACTCTGGGGAAAAAATTGTCAGTGAAAATATTCTGACTAGCAGCAGTACATTGTCTGATATAAGGTCGTAAGATAAGCAACTTGTGTTGCAAAGCATGCCAAATAAAAGTCTGCTAAAACTCTGAATAGAATTGACCTTAATGACATGGATGGTGTAAACCCTTGATGGTCTTCATTCACTGATGTGGCGTGATTCAGAATGAGAGGGAAAAGCTATAAACATCCGTTAACCAACAAATAGCCAATGTACAAAGTATAAAGCTATGAAAATGATAAGTTATTTTTAAATTAAATGCATACCATAATTGTTACCAGCCCTATGCATTAATGAGCTGAAATTGACTAGTATTGGCCATTTTTAATCAGGAGTCATGTAGTAGACTCTGCTAGAAATGGCAAATTGACAAGGAATGATGTCACAGGTGGTCAAAAAGAAACTCTGGTTTATTCACACAATGGTATACTATGCTGCAGTGAAAAACAAAGAACTCATGTAATATAATTCAAAATGGGTGACCATGGAGCACATTATGCTGAGTGAAGTATCTCAGTCACAAAAGGGCAAATACTGCATGGTGCCACTGTTGTAAAACGGGACTAACGTCGGGGTTGAGGGGAAAGATGGGATAAATTATGTATACTACATTGAAACAGATGAGGGAGAGAACTGTTTAAAAGCGATTATTGATTAGGTATTATTGTCATGACAGTAGTCCAGAACAAAGGCTGCGTAGTAGAGTGCACTTGCAGGGAGGGACTGTATAACAATGAAAGAATTTTTCTTTTACTTTTCAAAGAAAAGAGCGAATTGGGGGGGAAGAATGGGTAGGGAGAAAAATGCAATAATGAAATAATGGGAAAAATGGATCAATGATTTAATGAAAAACCAATATCCTTTGTAAAAGTTAACTCAAATAATAATAAAAAAGTTTTTAATTAAAAAAACCAAGTGTGGCAATAATAAGACACTCTACTTCCACATATAAAGAAAACTAGTTGTTATTATTATTCACACCTACACAGCAGCCAAAGATGAAGACACTTGACTATTCTTTTTTACCTTCCTCAGCAGTTTAAAACTGATCAGACATGCAATGAAGATAAGTTGATAATCACTGGTGATTGCAGCACAAAAACTGTAAACAAGGAAGGATTGGTGGCTGGAAAATACGGCCTTACTGAGACAAGTGATGCAGCAGATCATATGGAAGGATCTGCAGTCCACTTGCTTTTATTAAAAATAACTCTTCATTGCAATACCTTCCTTTGACATCATGAATAGTTAACTATATATGTGAGCTTTGCCAGATAGAATAAATGGGATTTAACTAAATACATCTCTTGAAAGTAAGGAATGGAGAAGTTCAGTATCACCAGTCAAGTGGATTTACATTATCTCATAATAGATTTGACACAATTAACAGTCAAAATCAAAACCAAATGATGTGAAGTGGCTGTATGAAAAAAGCAAGAGACCATTTAAAATTAAGGAAATAACAAAAAAAAAGATGTCAAAGAAGCTCTGAAATTTACTTCTGAACATAGAGTTGTTGCTGTTGTTGTTGTTAAGTGCCATCACGTTGCAGGTGACTCATAGTGACCCTATGAAGGAGAGTCCTCAATGCTTAGGTGTCTCTCATCCTATCTCCAGGTTCATAGGGTTTCTGGAGACAAGCTGTTATGGAAGTGGATGCCACTCCTCCTTCCAAGCTTGTTTTCATCAAGGAGCTCCACCCCACTTTCAGTCCGCATTGAGTAACCAGCCATTAACACATTTGACACATCAGTGTCACAGTGTTCAACCTCACAACAACCACAAGTGACCACAGGACGGCAACTTAAACACCAGGGCTATACAACCTAGAGGAATGTCTGAAAAAAACAATGAAAGACAGGCCCGAGGGTCACAGATTAAAAGTCACCCACCTTTGGCTTAGTTAGCATCGCCTTCTGTCCACTGGGCCAGCTGATCTCTCTCTGAACATAGAGTAGTTAAAGAAAATAAAAGAAATTATGAAGTGACAGAGCTACATAGAAAGTTTCACAGGACAGCTTGAGAAAACAAAGTATTATGATTAAATATGGCAAGACCGGTAGTTAGAAAACCAAAACTTGGTGTTTCTCATGCTGAAAGAACTGAAAAAAACAACATTGATGGCTCAAGTTGAATGAGTGAAGGATTCTTTGGGCAATATTGACTAGTGGATGTAACATCAAAAGAAGATGGAAGGTAATGTTGTTGTTGTTGTTATGTGCCATCAAGTCGTTTCCGACTCATAGCGACCCTATGCACAACAGCTCTAAACCCTGCTCTATCCTGCGCCAACCGCACCGCCTCTGACACACCCATCCCGATTACCCCAGTCACTGAATCAATCCATCTCATAGAGGGTCTTACCCTCCTGCTCTGTCCCTCCAGCCTCCCAAGCATGATGTCCCTCTCCAAGGACCCGTCCCTCCTGGCAACATGTCCAAAGTATGTCAGACGAAGCCCCAGAATCCTTGCCTCCAAGGAGCAGCTTGGTTTAATCCTCTCCAAGATGGATCTGTTTGTTTTCCTGGCAGTCCAGGGTACATTCAGTACCCTTCTCCAGCACCACAGCTCAAAAGCATCCACTCTCCTTCTGTCCTCCCTAGTCATTGTCCAACTCTCTGATGCATAACAAGCGATTGCAAATACCATGACCTGTATCAGGCGCACCTTAGTCTCCAGAGAGACACTGTTGCTCCTGAGTACGTTTGAGAGGTCCCTAACGGCAGACTTTCCCATCGTGATATGCTTTTTGATTTCCTGACTGCTGGTACCAAGAGTGTTAACTGTGGAGCCGAGCAAAGTGAAGCTGTGAACACTCTCAATCTCTTCATCATCCATCCTGACGCTGCCAATTGGTCCAGTGGCGAGAATCTTTGTCTTCTTGACGTTGAGCCTTAGTCCATACTGAAGGCTGCAGTCCTTGACCCTTCGCAGCAAGTGCACGAGGTCCTCCTCAGTTTCAGCAAGCAGGGTTGTGTCATCTGCATAACGGAGATTGTTGATAGATCTTCCACCAATCCTGATGCCACAATTCTCCTCATAGAGCCCAGCCTCTCGGATAATCTGCTCTGCATACATGTTGAAAAGGTATGGAGACAGGATGCATCCCTGGCGTACACCCTTCCCTATTTTGAACCATGCAGTGTTACCCTGCTCTGTTCTGACTACTGCCTCTTGGTCCAAGTATAGGTTTCGTATAAGCACAATTAAATGTTCTGGGATTCCCATTCTTCTCAGAGTCAGCCACAGTTTGTTATGATCCACACAGTCAAATGCCTTTGCATAATCAATGAAACACAGATAGACATTCTTCTGGTATTCCCTGCTTTCAGCCAAGATCCATCTAACATCAGCAACAATAACCCTAGTACCACGACCCCTTCTAAACCCAGCCTGGACTTCCGGCAGTTCTCTGCTGATGTGCTGTTCTAATAGTTTTTGGATGATCTTCGGCAGAATCTTGCTTGCATGTGAAATCAATGACACTGTTCTGTAGTTTCCACACTCAGTTGTGTCACCTTTCTTTGGAATGGGAACAAATATAGATCTCTTCCAGTCAGTTGGCCAAGTGGTTGTTCTCCAGATTTCTTGGCACAACTTGGTGAGCACATCCAGGGCAACATCTATTATCTGAAATACTTCAATTGGTATACCGTAATACAACTAATAAACTGAAACAGGAATTTAGCAATTAGGAAATGAAGGGGAAGGAGAAGGGAGGAAAAGACAAATCTATGTATGAAAAAGTAAATGAAAAGTCTACAATCAACGCTTTTGGTACCAGCAGCCGAGAAATGAAAAGACTAATTGCATTGGAAAAGTATGCTGCCAGAGACCTCTCCAAAGTACTGAAGAGCAACAGTGTAAATCTGGAGACTAACATGCACCTGTTACAGGCCATGGTCTTTGCAACTACTTACTATATATCAGAGAGCTGGACAATGACTAGGGATGATAGAAGTATAGTTGCTGCCTTTGAGCTGTGGTGCTGGAGAAGAGTATTGAATATACTGTGGACTGCTAGAAAAACAAATTAGTTCATCCTGGAGAGGGTGAAAACTTGCTGCTCCTTGAAGGCAAGGATTCTGAAGCTTCATCTGACATACTTGGGAAATGTTGCAAGGAGGGACCAGTCCTTGGAGAGAAACATCATACTTGGGAGGGTGGAGGAACAGTGCAGGAGAGGAAGACCCTCAATGAGATGGATTGATTCAGTCACTGCGGTAATGGTATAGGTGTGCCAGAGACAATAAGATTGGCACAGGATAGAGCAGGGTTTAGGGCTGTTGTATATAGGGTCACTATGAGTTGCAGGTGACTCAACAGCAC